ATACACAACAGAATTTCTTTAAATCCTTTCTCCCACTTACCTTCTAAGAGTCCTGCACCACATGGTGGAGCAGATCACCCTAAACTGTGATTCTCAGAACTCCCCCAAATATCCCCTAAAGCCAGATGGATTGATCTTTAACGTTTTTTGCCCTTTTATTCTTTATTTTTTCTTCCTTGCCATATTTTTCGTCCTTAAGCAACTCTGTCATTTCCCATTTAAAGCCATCTAACTAGCTCAAACTTCTTTCAATTCTGGCACCCTGATCTATACAACAAAACCCAGGAATTTAAGAGGCAAAAGAGAATTATTCATAGTGGGCAAGGAAAGAAAGAGGACATGAAAATATTTTAATATTTTTTCCTGCACCAAAAGGAGTTGTAAAACAGGAAAGTTATTAGAATATATGATAATTTATAGACATACACTGATATAAATCTTTAGAATTTATTTTTCAACCTTTGCTTCTGTTTACTATCTACCTGGCAAAATAAATATTTAAAAAATTGCTGTAAGTGCAAATCATGCTTCTTTAGATACATGGGAAGCTTTGTAAGACTTAAGTCTATTTTTAGAAAAAAAGATCAATTGATTTTAATTAAAAAGTAATAATTCATTACACCTTAAAGTAGTTATATATTAGTGGTGGTGTTATTAAGCATGTGTTTTGGATAGTGTCCTTTGTTTCCAAGAGTTAACAAAAAGAATAATAAAACTCTGTTTCATCAGAATATTTAGTTGAGTTACCCTTTTTGAATCTTTGAATCACTTTTTGAATTTCTGATCATTTTATATCTCATTTTGTTTAAACAAAAATAAGAGAATGGGGAACTTAATGCCTTATCAAATGTTTTTTTAAATTCAGGAAGGAAGAATTTCTGCTAATTTGAAACATTCTATTGGAACATGGAAGAGAAAAGGAGGGTCAGAATAGCAACACTGAATAGTACTCAGTTCAGTAAATCTTATTTTCCAGTTTCTCTGTATAGCTTATTGCTGACATGTCCTTTAATCATGACAAAGTATAATCAAGTGGGTAATTCAATACAACATTATTACCAAGTGATAAAATGTTTAATTGTTTTATACTATTTACTGCCTAAATATTCCCTAAAATCAGTTATTTTTATTTTTTATTTTTAAGATTCTATTTATTTATTTGAGAGAGACAGAGAGAGCACAAGCAGGAAGAGGGGCATATGGAGAGGGAGAGGGAGAAGCAGACTCCCTGCTGAGCAGGAAGCCTGATGTAGGGCTTGATCCCAGGACCCTGAGATCGTGAGCTGAAGTCAGATGCTTAACTGACAGAGCCACCCAGGCACCCCCCAAAATCAGTTTTTAGATTAGGAATAATTTTTGAAATATTATGTTACAGATGGTGTAATCAATTTGAAAAATGTTTAAAGGTCAAATGAAGATAAATCAATAGTTGAAAATATGCTTCATGTTAAAAAGATCTAGGGATTTCATCCTAGGGATGAAACTGACACATCGTTTGGTTCACATTTACAAAGAATTTATTGAAGAATCAAGTATAGGACTCTCTGAGCATTCATTCGGATATTTAGAAGAAAGTTATGAGCTATGTCGTTATTCTCTACCACAGGCAGGCATTTTCCCGAAATACATTGATCTTCTGAAATAAAACAGTACACAATCACCAACAGACACATGACTTATCAGGGAAATGCAAATCAAAACTATGATGAGAGATGACCTCACACCTGTCAGAATGGCTAAAATCAACAACACAAGAAACAACAGGTTTTGATGAGGATTTGGAGAAAGGAGAACCCTCTTGCACTATTGGTAGGAATGTAAACTGGTGCAGCCATTGTGGAAAACAGTATGGAGGTTCCTCAGAAAGTTAGAAATAGAACCTGTGATCCAGCAATCACACTACTGGATATTTACCCAAAGAATACAAAAACACTAATTCAGAGAGATACATGCACCCCTATATTTATAGCAGCATTATTTACAATAGCCAAGATATGGAAGCAGCCCAAGTGTTCATCAATTGATGAATGGACAAAGTAGATGGGGGATAAATATATACACATATATATATAATGGAATATTACCCAGCCATTAAAAAAATGAAATTTTGCCATTTGCAATGACATGGATGGAGCTAGAGAGAGAAATAAGTCAGAGAAACACAAATACCATATGATTTCACTCATATGTGGAATTTAAGAAACAAAACAAAAGGGAAAAAATTAAGAGAGAGAGAGATAAATCAAGAAACAGACTCTTAATTATAGAGAACAAACTGATGGTTACCGGAGGAGAGGAGGGTGGGAGGATGGGTTAAATAGGTGATGGGGATTAAGAAGGGCACTTGTGATGAGCCCCAGGTGATGTATGGAAGTGTTGAATCATCATCTTGTACACCTGAAACTAATGTTGTATGCTTAACTAGAATTAAAATAAAAACTTAAAAAAACAATAAAACATTACACAATCAATAGCAAGAGTTTTTGAACCTCAGCCTCATATTTGACTTTTTGCTGTAGATTATCATACCTTATTCAAAGTCTTAACAGCTAGGCATCAAAAAGAATGATATGTCTTGGCTTTTTTTTTTTTAAGATTTATTTATTTATTTGAGAAAGAGAGTATGAGTGTGAGGGGCAGAGAAAGAGAGACTCTTAAGCAGACTCCACACTGAGGGTATAACCCCATGCGGGTCTCACTCTCAAGACCCTGAGGCCACAATCTGAGCTGAAGCCAAGAGTCAAGACGCTTAACCAACTGCACCATCCAAGTGCCCCTAGTCTTGGCTTTTTGCTGTAGTTTAAAGTAGATGTAAGGATTAGACCTTTAGGAAAATAGTAATCATTTAATTATTCACTGCATAACTTATTATTTCCGTAACAACTGCATATCAACTTTTTGTTGTTGCTGTTTGTTTGTTTTTGTTTTTAGAGAGGGAGAGAGTGGGAAGGGGACAGAGGGAGAGGGAGGAGAGAGAATCCTAAGCAGGCTCCATGTCCAGTGCGGAGCCCAACGTGGGGCTTGACCTCACAACCCTGAGATCATGACCTGAGCAGGAATCAAGAGTCAGTCGCTTAACTCACTGAGCCACCCAGGTGCACCTGTTAACAATTTTTCATACTGAGTATAAATAGTGTTTTATGTTTAACTGTGAGAAGTTGGCCCAGAAAAAAAAATAATGTTGTTGAGTGGGAAGATAAGTTCTCATTTAAGCACTATTATAAAATCTAAGTGATTTAGAGAAAATTCTGTTACCCTTAGCCTGGTTGTAAGATAATATTAAGATGCATTCCACGGGGCTATCCTTAGTTCTGGTTAGTGACATTTAGCAACTTCTGAAGATGTGCAGCACATAAATTGTTCCATAGTATGGTCCTTGCCATAAAAGTGTACATAGGATACAAGCAAAAACTCTTCTATGGGCTGTTTTTTGCACGCATGTGAAATTATGCTTCAGTAATATTTAAGGCAAAGGGAAACAAAGAGTTCAACATTAGGTGGAGAGAAGCAATTGTTAAGTTCTCTACTGCCAAGATTAATTATATTGTTTCTGCAGAAAATTAAACAGCAAGATATAATGTAAGAGGGGGCAGGATCCTGGTTACAATTTCCTGTTTACCCACAGGTCCCTGAGATTGCCCTGTTTTGGAAGTAGCTGATCTGCAGGCTATGTCCCTCACTGGGATTCTAATCCTTCCTTTAGGTCTATGCTGAAGAAATCACTAGCCTTAAAAAATGTACCCCGAATAAGCACTACCTTGATATCAAAGAGTAGGACCACACTTTTGGTAGACATAGGCTAACTAACAAGCAACAGAAGAACTATGAAATATGTTTTATTCACTGGTTTGCTAACTTGGAAAGTGAAATATTTCCAGATGACTGGCTATTGGACAAGATAGAGAATCTTAAAGGCCTTATCGAAGATATTATGAGTTATTATTATTATTATTTTTCAGATTTTATTTATTTGTCAGAGAGAGAGAGCACAAGCAGGGGGAGCAGCGGACAGAGGGAGAAGCAGGTTCCCCACTGAACAGGGAGCCAGATGCAAGACTCGATCCCAGGACTGTGGGATCATGACCTGAGCCGAAGGCAGACGCTTAACCAGCTGAGCCACCCAGGCATCCCGAAGATATTATGAATTATTAACATTCTTCCCCAACCTCTCTAGCTAAGAAAAACTAATGAAGTAGAATAATTATGTAACATTAGGTAGGACAATTTGAGGGAACAAATTTTATTTCACTTTTTTGCTTTTTTTCTTTTTTTTTAAAAAAACCATTTAAAACTAGTGAGTTCAGCTATTCTTTTAAGTGTTTTTATGGGGGTCTTGATTTTTCACTTAGTGAGTGGATAACATTTTGTTTTGTCTCTTAAAAACCCTTTCTTTCTATCCACATGCCATGCCTTGTAGCTTTCTTTAATGCAAGCACTTATAATACCATGCTATTATTCTTTCTCTATGTGCATTGCAGTTAGTCGAAGTTATGGTGAGAATCAATGAACATCATTGTTGTATTCTATGTCTTGACATTTGAAGTAAAGTCTAAACACGATTCAGAGAAAACTACATAGGAAGCCATTATGACATCCATGACATATTAAAGGTACTGAGATTTTGGATTCTATAACTATCTTTGTAGTCTGTAAAATCTAAAAGTGCTAGGTTTATCATAATTTTACTCAAAATACTCCCATGCTCTTCCTACCATACTTCTTGGACTAAAAAAAAATGGGTGAGGAAAAAAGACTCAGTGACAACGTTTCATATTTACTGCTGATTAAAATATTCAGGGTTTATATAGTTTTCTTTGCACAAGTAAAAATATTACTGTAGGCTTTTTATTAAATATATTTTGTTTGGATGAACAAATCCATAAATATTATTGACTCAAGGAAGGTTAGTTAAAGTTGGCTGACTGCCAAGAAACCTCATAAGACAGCACTACCTTGAACAATTTAATGCAGTCTGACTTTAGGGTCTGACACAGTGTTTCAGGCTTTTAAAATTTTCAATATTTTTGTCAATGTGCCACAGTTGAAAAACCAGAATTGACTCAAGTGGATCAGCCCTGCAGGCTACAGGTGAATCTCATGGAAAGAATTTCATGATGAGGAGCCAAACCTCAGGAATGGAAAGTCAAGGAATTTTCTAGTTCTCTTTCTTTGTCCATACTTCCCACTGTCTATTTTTAATTTTCCTCTTTGTAGACCTATTCTGTTTATCTTCTCTCCTTTTGTATATATTGTTGAAGTCAACTTATTAATTTACAAAGAGGAAATATAAGTCCCAAAGTCCAGTGCCTTGGTTTCCCCAGTAGGCAAACTTCAGGTAAATCAAATTATTTAAAGTTAGTTTGGTAAGCATGGAATACGATTGGGTGAATAGGTACGTCTATATAACTTTCCAATAGTAGCCCCTTCTTTGAAATTTTATCCTTTCAGAACTCTTGTTGAGGTGATGGGCTTGGGTGGTCATGTTTGTATCATGTGATATCATGAATGGGCAGAGAATCTGTACATACACCTAATCATTCAGTCTCAACCTTTAGAATTTGAACCAAGGGACACAAACACAAACATTGTTTTGAAAAATGTGCCTACTGGATTCTTCTTGTGAAGTCAGTGCCAGAACTGGTTCCTTGGAGAGCCTGAACAGCCAGCAAGCAGAAGTTGTAAGGGAAGAAGAGAAGATGTTAAGATCAATCTGCAAGGAGAAAAATGAAGCAAATACATAAATCTAAGTAGAGACAAGGATCTTTGTGGTCCTACAGAGAAAAAGATTTACAGAATAATGGCCAGACTTTGAAGGCTGGCTTTGTGTCCTAAATTTGATTGCTTCAAATTTCCTTGTTGCCTATGTGTAGTGTTTTCCTTTGATCTACCTTGGGTGAATTTCTGTACTTGTAGTGAATATGGCATACACACACACACACACACACACACACACACACACACACACACACCAGTATTTTTTTATGTTTCAGAGTGAAACATATACATAATTTAAAAGCCAAATAGTAATACAGTGTTTCTAATGAAAAGTAGCAAGTAGTCCACTGCTTCATTTCCTCCTCCCTCCCAAATAACTTCTCTCCTGAACAAACCACTTTCAACTCAGTTTCTTTTAGAATTTACTTCTATATTTCTAAAACTTTTGTTCAAATTCCTATTTCTCATTCTATAAATTTTAGCGTTATAAGTTGATTTTCTACTATGAAAGCAGAGGATTTAACTGCCTTTTACCAATTGCCATTCATCTAGGATATTTACATAATTATTTTTGGTGAAATCTTTTAATTTTTACATTATTATGACTATAGTTATATATTATTACTGTGTACATATTGCTCACTGCTGAGATATGAATTGTACAATAGTTACATTTCCTTTTAGAGTTAATAACTGCCTCATTTTGGGGAGGTTTAGATTTTTATGGAACTGTCGTTAATTTTTCCCCAAACTCTATAATAAAAATCCCAAAAAAGCTAAAAGAAAGTTTTGACATAGTTAAAAAAAATCAGGAAATCTGTCAGTTTCCTTTAAATCTTAGAAAAATTACTCTAATTTTTCCCAACACCATTTTTGAAGAGACTATTTTTTCCCCATTGAGTATTCTTGGCTCCCTTGCCAAATATTAGTTGACTGTATTGTAAGGGCTTATTTACAGGCTCTTGATTCAGTTTTTCTGGTCTATGTTGTCTATTTTTATGCCAGTACCATATTGTTTTGATTACTATATCTTTGTAATATAATTTGAAATCAGGAAGTTTTATGCCTTCAGCTTTGTTCTTCTTTTATGACTGCTTTGGCTTTTCTTCTGATCCATGAACATGGAGTATCTTTCCATTTGCTTGTGTCTTCTTCAATTTTTTTTTTTATCAAAGTCTTACAGTTTTCAGTGTACACATCTTTTACCTTTTTGCTAAAAATTTATCCCTATTTGTTTTTGATGATATTGTGAATGAGATTTTTTATTTCTTTTTCAGATATTTTATTGTAAGTATATAGAAACACAGCTGACTTCTACATATTGATTTTGTACCTTGCAACTTTACTGAATTTCTTCATTAGTTCTAACAGTTTTTTGGTGGAGTCTTTAGGATTTTCTATATATAAAAGATCATATCATCAGCAAAAAAGACAATTTTACTTCTTTCTTTCCAACTTGGATGCTTTCTATTTCTTTTTCTTGTCTGGTTGCTCCAGTTAGAATTTCCAGTAGTATGTTGAACAGAAGTGGTGAGAGTAGGCATTGAAGCACAGTGGTGCAGGCCAGTGACAGAAGACAGGGCCTGATCTGGGCCCACAAGCAGCTGTGGGGACCCTGGCTGTTGGAGTGCTTCTCATGTCCATACAGTGTCTTCTGGGCATGTGCATTACAGTGTATGCTAATGACAGGTGTCAGGTTGGCGATGTGCAAGTGCTTGGCTGGATGGGCTAGCCTCAAAAGTGCTTATGGTTGTAGGAGTCAGCTGCAGGAGTCTAGGCTGTCATCTTGCAGTAGGGCAGCTGTAGAGGCCTGGGCTGGCTGTCAGTGTGGTTCCCAGGCTCTAGTGGGGGGCTGGCATCATGGAATACAAATGCCAGTGGGACAAAAGCTAATGAAAACTGCAGAGGGTTCTCCATGGCAGCAGTGCTGGCTATTAGTTTCTTCAGTAGTGAAATCTGCTGTGTTAGTCTGCAGAGCAGGTCACTATAAACCAGTCTCTCCCAATATGTGGTGGCTATTGGTAACCTCTGCTTTTCTTCCTTGTCCCTAGCTGTGTCTGTAGTTTCTATATGTCTCAATTTTGTGGGTCTGGGAGAGGTGAAACCTAAACAGGACTTTGGTGCTCCAAGAGGCTGGGGAAGCTAGATGCTTACCCGGTTTTTCCTTTCAGGGTAAAGGGAACTCTTACGAGCTGGGAAATTGCCTCTTAGCACTGAACAGTGCTAGCTTGGGGTATTCTTGGGATGATGCTGGAAAAATGAGGTTGTCTTCTTTCTCTTTTAGTGAAGTTATTCTCAGATTTCTTTTTTTTTTTCATTCCACTATGTTGCTAAAGTGGGTGTCAGAGCTCTCTCACAGCTGTTTTTGTTTGTGGATATCTAATTGTTAATCTCTTGAAGGATGGAGGCTGGGGTCTCACTCCAGTCTATCAATTCTGCCATTCTGATATTTCTCTTGATCATTATCCAGATTATTCCCTCACCTCTCTTCTGTGTTCATTCATTTATTCATCTATTGAACAAATATTCTAGAAAGCTATGTGCCAGGCAGTATTAGGGATACTGTAGTTCTGTTGATGAAAGGGAGATAAAGTCTCTGCCTCTATAGAGCTAAAGTTCTAGTAAGAGAAACATAACATAAAAAAAATGTAGTAGGATGTGAAACTGAAAGTTTCTATTGAGACATCTACGTATAATAGATATGACATTCCAAAGTGAAGTAAAAAAATCAATATTAAAGTTTTTAGAGAGTTGAGAAGTTTTTTTTAATTAATGTATTTGAGAGAGAGCGTGCACAAGAGACAGCAGGAGCAGGGTTGGGGGGAAGGGAAGAGGGAGAGGGAGAAACAGGCTCCCCTCTGAGCAGGGAGCCCCATAGGGGTCTCAATCCCAGGACCCCACGATCATGACCTGAGCTGAAGGCAGATGCTCAGCCAACTGAGCCACCCACGTACCCCAAGAATTGAAAAGGTTTTGCATGATCCTTCACTGCTCAGGAAGTAATCAGACTGTGTAAAGACTGGAGAGAACTTTGTGAAAAATGATAATGAAAGGGTATTAAGTTTATTTTTTTAATATAAGGTAATCAGTAAAAGATCCTTCTTTACTGATCTCTATTTGTTTTATTGATATTTGGGCAGAGAGCTAAAGGAAGTGAAAGAATCAGCTACATGTATAACTGAAAGGAAGAGTATTCCTGCTGGAGGAACCAAAACACAATGGCCTGAAGATAAGAGAATGCTTACTGTGTTTTAAGAATAGCAAGGAAGACTGTAAGTATCAGAATGACTAGGGGAGGGTGGAGGAAGACTAGATGGAGATGAAATTGGAGAGGGAATTGATGGTGTCCTGACCTGGGGTAGTGTCACTGGATGTGGTAAGAACTGGAGAGATTCTGGACATGCTTGATAGTGGAGCTGGCACAATTTCCTAATAGCCTGGGTGGGTATGGAATATAATGTAAGAAAGGAGTCAAGGATGATTTCAATTAGGCTGAGCAATTGGAAATGAGGGTGGGTCAAAGGACCCACCCACTGAGTAAAGACTCAGATGGGAGAGAGATTCAGGAAGTAAGAGGAAGCAGAGTATGTTCAAAAGTTGGCTTTGGAAATATTAAGCTGTGAGAGTCCTATTATCTATCTGAATGGAAATGTTCAACAGGCAATTGTATATAAGAATCTATGGTACAAGTGAAATGTTAGGGTTGGAGATAAAGGCTAGAGAGTCATCACAGTATACCTAGCATTTTAAAATCATGGATCATTAAGTCTTTGTAGGGTGTAGCTGCCCGAGTTTGGTGAGCTCTATCTTCTGACTCATTTCACTCTTCTAAAACAAATAGGGTTTCTCTGTCTCAAGTTAGCTTGCCCTTGACATCTCAGTAAACTCATGCCTATATTTCTTGCACACCAAAGACTTTTCCTCTGAATATATCAGCTTATGTCTGATGAGGTCTGATTTCAGGATAAATCCTCACTTACACTCAGAAGACACAAAAACTTTCCTCCTGTCTCTTGGTGTATAATAAAGCTTGACTTATCAATAAATCCATATCAGTAAACTCACTTAGAACACAAATAAGGCCTCCACCCAACTCTTGTCTTCTTTTATGATACAGCTTGACTCCTGGAAAATTCTTATCTACATGAACCAGAGTATTCTTCCTAAATTATGCTTTCTTGTATAGGATAAGGTGAGATTTCAAGCTAAATCTGTACTCACAACTGGTAACAATTATTCCCAGAACCGTTAGCATGTCTGAGTAGGTAAACCCTCACCTACAGTCTCCACATTTGAACAAAGCAAATTCTCTGTTATTTCCTCTCAACATTCTCTTTGTCCTTGTGAGTTTATGGTTCTTGTATTTCCTCATCATCATTTTAGTAGGGTTTCTGGATAGGGTAGAAATAAATGCATGTGTTCAAGTTGCCATATTTAACAGGCCAAATAATTTTACATAATAAAAATTCATAAAATTTTTTCCATAAAATATTTCTATATTATAGGATGTTTCTAGTTATAGCAAATGTACATCATCCAGGTGATCTTGCTTAATAGCAAGATAAGTTTCTTGAAGTGATGAAAAAAAAGGCTTTTAAAATTACTCCGTGCTTATTGTTAGTAGTCTAACAGTACCTTGACATTTTACTATAGTTTTGTAATTCACTAGAATATTGTATTATTGGGTTATATTGGCAATTTTTTATATCTGTATTAGAAAAAAGACTACTAAATTTTCAGAAAACCTCAAGGCACCAAATTCTATTAAATAGATTACCTCCTGGGACGTCTGGGTGGCTCGCTTGGTTAAGTGTCTGCCTTTGGCTCAGGTCATGATCCGGGGCCCTGGGATCAAGCTCCGAGTCAGGCTCTCTGCTCAGCGGGAAGCCTGCTTCTCTCTCCCTTTGTCCTCTCACCCTGCTTGTGCGCTCTCTCTCTCATGCTCTCTGTCTCTCCCAAGTAAATAAATAAAATCTTAAAAAAATAATAATTACC